CTGAGCTGTGACTAATGGAGTTGGATGGAGGTGGCGGCGGCAGGAGGAGCTGTGGGAGGAGAAGTCCAAGCAGGGAGAGGGACTCAGCCCAGCTACACACTTGGGTGATTTCACCCTTTCCCTTCGTGCTGGAACTGGAGTTAGGATTTCATCTAGTATGGATGGAGACCCCAGAGCTCGACTTAATCTGGTTGGATGTGACTGTTGGACACATGAAGTGTTTTTTCTCCATTATCCCCTGGCCTCCCTCCCACTGAGGGTCCTAATAAACTATTTCGGGAAGCGCTAGATGGCTCATTTGTTTGGGAGGCGCTGGACAGCCCTACCTCCTGGAGATGCGAATGGTATGCTTTCCTTGGACTCACAGACCACAAATGTCTCATTGCGCTTGAAAGGGTATGTGTTATTAATGCTGAATTTCGAGCAGAGACCCAGCCTCAAGGGAGATGAGAACACAGGAGGCACATAAATTCTCTCTGATGCCCAGGGAGGCCCTTCCTCTTCTTCCTTCTTTTTTTTAATTAGGTAATTGATCCATAACATTGATCAGAAAAAAATTATGCCTTGTTGACCATATTCTTGGATGAAGATCAATGATGTTAATTTTTAGTACATCAATTCCCACATTGGGCACTAATTGGAAGGGATAAAGCTATGTGATGCATCACTGGGTGAGACTTAGGGCAACCACACCCTCAGAGGGGTCCAGGAGATGTGATCTTGCCAACCTATTTTATAGATGATAAAGTGGGAAGCTGCGCTGGGTAGAGGGGTCCTGAGGATTGAAATTTAAAATCTTGCCCTGATGTTGCTTGATGCTACCAGGGTTGCAAGTGAGATGGAAAACAATGCTAGACAGTTTGGGGATACCCTCTGTTCCTTCAACCCCATATAGGAGCCTCCTCTTTATCCCCCTCAGCACATCTTTCCTTCCCTTAACTCTGTATTTTGTCATCATTGTGAGGAAGCTATAAATCACAAGATTACAAATGACTATTGAATATAGAACAAATCAAAAATAGTATAACAACAAAAGCTTCTAGAGTTTTAGCAATAGCCCTGACAAAGTCTTTGTTTTCTTTTTGTGATACTGAGGTTGAGCCTGGGTCCTTTGTACCAAGCTACATCCTTACCCCTTGTTTACATTTTGTATTTGGAGACAGGGTCTGGCTTAGTCGCTAAGCTGGAGGGTTTGGCAGCTGGCCAGGAAGTGGAGAAAGGAAGCTGGGGATTCCTGGGTGCTGTAGTTTGGATTCCAAATGCTCCTACAAAGGCTCATGTGTTAAGAGCTTGAGGTCCAGAATGGTGCTGTTGGGAAGTGATGGAACCTTTAGAAGGTGGGACTGATGATTGGGTGTCCTTTGATCATTGGCTGGCATGAACTCAGAGGGGTTTCTGGGACTGCAGCCCTTTCTTGACTTTTTCCCCCCTGGGTCATAATGGGAACAGTTCACTCTGCTCTAAGCTCCCCACCATTGCCATTCCCACCAGAGACTCAAAGCAAAAGAGACTGCTTAGTCTTGGACTTGAGTTCCAGAACTAGGAGCTAAATAAATCTTTCTCTTATAAACTAATTGTCTCAGGTGTTTCTTTGTAGTAGGCAGAAGCTGACTAATGCATTGGGCTGGAGGATCCTCACCTGACTGAGCCTTGATGGTGTAGCTGCGGAGTTGCTGAGGTGGCCTTTGAGGGCCCTCTAGAGAGGAAGTGTTCCTGCTGCAGATGGCAGATGCAGTTCACATCACAGACTTTCATTCAGCCTGGCCATTACTTTGGTTGATTTTCCAGCTCAAAGTTGTAGCTTCTCAGACACTAGGCTAGAGTCCCTTGCCTGAGACAGCTCAGCTCTTACTGCATTTGCCTGATGTCAAGTGGTGATGAAGAACATCTTATGACTCCTTAGTAAGGCCTCCCTTCACATTTCCATTTTCCAACTGCTCATTTGACTTTCAAACATTTGACTTTGGGGAGCTTTGAGGGGAAAATTGTTACAGTGTCAGGTGTTCTTTAATTTGGACTAAAAGTCAATAAACTTGATTTAGATGAACTCATAAGGAATTATGTTCTGATGATCATCAAGGCAACCCTCAGGATACATTGGTGGCTAAGAGAGGGGTGAGGAAAATTTGTTTCCTTGAGGTTTTTAAGTGGAGAAGCAGCCTTCTACTCTAGGTAATGCTGCCTTTCCCTCCAAGTGGCAGGAAGCTGAACCAACTACTGTTCAAGGATCTGCTCAGCTGGGGACTTGAGGGATCTGTAGGTGCTGCAGGATATATCAATAGGTGTGAGTGTCTGGGAGCTCTTGGGCACAGGACCCAAGGCTGTTGTCGTGAACTGAATTTTGTCACCTTGTCTCACTCAAATGTTGGTCCTCCCCTGCCAACTGATGGTATCTGGAGACGGGATCTTTGAGAAATAACTAAGTTTGAGGCCATGATAATTAGGGTGAGGTCATGAGGATGAGGTCCTAATCATGAAATTAGTGCCCTTATAAGTAGAGAAACTAGCACTCCTTGCTCCCATGGAGCACTCTAGAATTGTGAGAGCAGAATTTCTATTAAGTGTCTCCCTCGGTGCTCCCTGTGTTTTACATTTTTGTGGTACTGGGACTTGAAACTACTGGGTTTTGCACTGAGCTACATCCCTAGTCTTCCCACTCCCTTTGACTTTGAGAGAAGGTCTTGGTAAATTGCCAATTGCTAAACTGTCTAGGCTAGACTAAAAATTGCCATCCTCCTACTTCAGCATCCCAGGATGCTGGGATTACAGGAGTGCTCTAGCTCTCCTGGGGCCCGTTTGTGGTATTTTGAGCCAACTTCCAGACTCTTCTAGGAGGTTCGGACTGCTTGTCTGCAGAGGAATGTGATGGATGGGCTGGGTGAGGAGGCTTACTTCCCTAGGTGGTGGGTGAGTGTAGCTAGCAGCAGCTTGCATTGTCCTGGCTCACAGTCTAAGCTCTAGTCATGTTAGGCACAGCAGACCTCTAGTTTCATGGATGCTGACGGAAGACACAAGGCTCCTGGGTCAGAGCCAAGGGACTGCATTCTCACAGCAGTAGAAGTAGCCAGAGTATCAGTACTTGTTCCCTGAATTCTAACAGCCCCAGGGCAATGCCAAGGTCCAGAACCACCTGTACATTCAATGGGTTGTTACAGGAAAATAACATTAAGTGTCCCAGATTTTTAAAATAATGGGGAGTCAGCATGCCTGCTCTTTGCTCCAGAAGGAGAACAGCTCTACTTCTATCTTCTAAAGCTGATTGTTACACAAATACCCTTAGAAAGATAGCCCAGAACATAACATGTCTGCTCACAAGATGTGCAGACAGGTGACAGACCTATGAATTGTCTCCGGATTCTCCATGACCCAGGTCCCCAACTTTACCTCTCACCACCTCCACCTTGCACTTTGTGCTCAGTCATGAAAACCTGCTCATTGTCCCTGCGCAGTTTGTTCGTGACGCCTTGCAGCATGGACTGTCCTTTCTTCCCAGGCCCTTCTGCTCCCTGCCTAGAACTCCACTGAGTGTTACTTCCTCCCTGATTATGAATTCCATGAGGACCCATCCAGAGATTAAGTTGTGGCACATTTTTTTCCTAAACTAAGTCCACTTTTGTAAGTTTTCCAAGGTCATTTACACCCAATAGCATTGCAATTGATCTTTGGCAAGTTCAGATTAGAGTGTGGCTGATTTTTCCCTGTGCACATCTCCTCCTGCTGGACCATGCAAGCCTCTTGAGGGCAGGACTCTGTGCTAGACACCTGGCTTGAAAGGCAGGCAGGAGGGAAGCACAGATGAAGTCCCCTCTAATGTGTAGTCGGCTCAAAGCATGTGACTCAGCAGGAGAAGTGAACTGGCCAAGCAGTTGTGTGTGCTTGTCTGGGCTGCAGGGAGGTCCCTCCTGAGATGTTGAGGTTGCCTGCTGGACACAATTTCCTGAAATCAATTGCATTGACTTTTGGACTCTTTGGTAAGCAGCCATAGTCTCTGCAAAAAGCATCCCCTGATTCACACCAAACTGGTTGAGATCTGCATTGGAATGTTTCCTGTTAATTGAAGAGCTGCGTATCTCATTTTGAGCAGAGGAAGGGAATTATTTCTGGAAGGAGGAAGTATCTGGAATTCCAAGGTTTATCCTGTATAGAAAAACAGACTCATGCAATTCTAGTGTTTATTAAGCACTTCAGTGCTTATGCAAACAGACTCGTGCAATTCTGGTGTTTATTAAGCACTTACAGTGTGTGTGTTCGGGCGGTGTGCTTAGGCGAATAAGAAGGAAGAAGGGATGATTACAGCCTGGCCTCTGCCCTCAGGCAGCTTCCACACAGTGGGGTAGGAACATGTTTCTGAGCATGTACTGTGTATGCGAGGAGACTACACTTGTTTGCCTGCGTCTGGAAATGGAGCTTCATTATTTATTACTGCACAATTCCTCCCAAAGTGTAGTGGCTTAAAAGAATATTAACTCCATTTCTTGGGTCAGGAATCAGTAGTTCTGGCTCAGAGTTTCTCCTCTGGCAATCAGATGGCTTCAGTCATCTGAAGGCTGGGGGAGGAGCACTGCTCCCAAGGTGGCCTACCCGCATGCGTGTAGACAGGGGCCTTCATTTCTTGTCATGTACACATTTTCAGAGGCCTTTTTTTTTTTGGTGTGTGTGCTAGAATTGAACCCAGATCTTGTGCATGTCAAGCAAGCTTTATACTCCCAGGTCCCCGGAGCGCTATTTGAGTATCCTTACCATACAGAGGCTGGCTTCTTCCAGAGTCAGTGATCCAATAGTTATCAAGGCAGAAGGCACAGTATCTTGTATGACTTACCCTACAAACACAGTATCATTTCTGCAATATTCTGTTGAAGGCACAGGCTGGTGCTACTCATCATGGGAGGCTGACAAAGGGACATACGGTATGTAACAACTTCAGTTTTTTCTGTGTTTGTCCTCTCTCCTGAACAAGCAAGCAATTCTTGAAAGAACTAAATTTGCCTCCTCTGTCTCAGGCCCCAGGCAGTGAGGGGACGTCAGAGTCTGTGCTGGAGATATTGCTGGTCGTGCTTGTGAGGACCAAGATGCCCCTTGTCCAGGTACTGTTCTGGCAGAAGATGGGAGAATCTGCAGGTGGCCTCTGGAGCCTGATCTTTTTGGAATTGCTCATTTTCTTCATTTTCTGTGTACCTTAAGAGTGAAAGCTTCCTCCATTCTTCATCCAAGCTGTGGTTCAGGTCTCCTAAAAGAAATAGGCTTTTGCTTTGCTGACCTACATTGGTCACAGCAAAAGCAAAGATGCATTTTCTCCTCGGGCTCAAGGCTGTCAGCTCCTAAATGAAGTTTATTTAATAAAAGAATTAGTTCCAGTTGAATTCTTGAGATGGAATTATGGGTTCATTTGAAGGAAAATGGAAGGAGCAGCCAGCTCAAAGGTCGAGGGGAAGCTAATGAAAACTGTTTTCAAAGCATACACGATGCAGTGTCTGAAAAATGCAATGTTTCCAAGTGATATTTTCATTTTCCAAGCTTGCAGCAGGCTGTCTGTCTCCACCACACAGTACCCATTGTGCAGGCCATGTCCCCTTCTTCCTGTGTCTTCTATTCCTGGAGTAGTCCTTGTAGGGCTTGGGCCTTGGGTGAGCCCCTTCAGAATCTTCCTAGCGAGTGTCAGTTGTTTTTGCCTCCTGTAGCTGTTCCTCCGTGCAGTTGTAACTTACCTGGTTTTTGCTTGCCTATGTGCACCTATGAAACTGATTCCATCCGGGGCTCACTGAATAAGCACATCTACTCTCTGACTGAGTCAGGAACAGCACATGAACTGGGACGTGCCAACCATAAGCCTGATGACTCCACTCTGGTACTCTTATTGAGCTGGGAGGCCTGCTGCTTCTGTGCTTTGAATCCAGCTGAAGTGGAATCCAGCTCTATAAATTCTCTCTTGGCTTTAAAGAAGTTTGAGTTGTCAACTTCTGTTAGCCATGGGGGGTCTGGCTGATACACGTGTCTTTTGCAGAAAGCAGATAATTTCACCTCTCCTACATGGGACCTAGTAGTTCAGTAAAGGTGCTGGGGAGAATAGATTTTTTTCATGTGTTGTATGTGGCTCTTTGAAAATGCTTGTTTTTTCACTTAACGGACTCTGGGTCTCTTGCAGCCAGGAACTAAGCCAGGTTGGTCTGTGAAGCTCTGATGCTCATGCAGCCCTGAGTCAGGCATGCAGTGAGTGCTGGATACATCAGTCCTAAGCCTTGCAGATCTTCTGAGACTCTTCTGCAGCAAGTGTAGTACAAGATACCACCCAAGAGACTCTGTTCTTTGGTGTCTCTGATGTGGAGAGAAATGGGGCATCCAAAAAGACAGCTGGATAGGGAGAAGAGATCCTTGTTGCTGTCTTCAGGGCAGTAATATCAACTCTGATCCTTGTATGGAGAGTTAAATTTTCCCCAGTCCCTTCCCCCGGCATCACAGCTTCTGAATTACACACTCTATTGCTCTGCAATTAAGCAATAATGCAATTAAGAATAATGCAATGAAGACGATGCTCTGTGGGTCCCAGTCTTGTTGCTTCATTTAAATATTGAGCTCAGAGCAGACAGGGAATAAACATACATATTTCTATTCCTTTAATGTAAAGGAAATTGTGTCAAAACAGTTGTGGGTTATGAGTCATCGCTCATGTTTCACCTGCAGTTTGCTGCTGTGAGATGTGTTGGAGAAATCTCTCCCTTGTGGTATCCACTGTGTTCACCTCCACCATGCAGTCGGGGTGGCTCTGTAAGCAGATCATGTCGCTGGCTGCTTTGTACCCCCCCGAAGCTTTGCCACATCTACAAGAGGACCAGATGACAGCTCCTTTGTACCACCCACCCTGCTTCCTCTGCTGGGTCAGTGTGATGGAGAAGCAGCTGTGGGGTCTGAGCTGTATTCCAGGAGTACAGAATTTCCAGGGCAGTGGCCACAGCTTGGGATTCTCTGCTTCTTCTTTTTTACAGTGGAAAAAGTGAGCCTGGAGACTCCAGAGTCATATGACTCCCTGGATCCCAAAGCTGGTCCCATGAGCTCAGCAGGGGCAGCAAAGCAAGTTCTTTGTAAAGCATGAAGTGCCACATTCTGAAATGTGATCTTTTTCTTACTTGTTTGGTTAAAATGATCTGCCTATTTGCAATGTTGGTGATAACGTGGTCTTTCAATGTTTTTGCTTACTGAAATTAGCTTTCCAAGTTGTGTTATGCCATATGAAATTGCCAAAATTGGATTGTTTTGAACCTGGAAATATGGCAAATTTGCTATATTTGCTCATCTTGCCAGTTGCAAGAAAAATGGCAATATTAGATGGTCCAATCTAATGACTTTACTAATTCATGACAAGCCAAACATCTGGGACCCCACAGTGTAGTGGAAGGACTTTTTTTTACTAGGACAGGCAGGTGTACAGTCTAGTTTGAGTTTTCCTCCCAGCATCTCCCCTTGTCTGGATAATGCTGGGTCTCATGGTCCAGGTGATCTCCATTACAGGTCACATGAGAGACATTTATTAAGTCAAGCAGTAATGTACCTGTGAATGTTGAATGAAGGCCTGTAGCTGGGATAACTCTTACATGCAGCGATCAAATCTTTGGGCTGGAACTTTTGGGAGAAAAGCATTCCTTCTTTTATCATTTTGGGCTGAAAATACTTGGGGATAACCTCTGTGCCCTGGCCAAGGTAATTGTGAGAGGCTAAATTTTACATTTGCTAGGACAGTGTCTCAGGAAAGTCACAACAATTGAGTTAAAACTCCAAAAATCAATCTGTCAGTGACTTTGTCTCCAGAAGGTTATGCAACCAGTTTGGATCTTTTTAAAAAAAGAAATGGATTTTTAAAGAAAACAAATACAACTTGAAATTCAGTTTTCTCTTCTCAAGGTAGCTTAGAGACCATGTTATTTATAAAATGGTTTGAAATTCATGGTCAGAGTAATATCAAAGAAGAATAAAATCTCATTCTCCAGGCAGACATTTCTAATTTTTAAACCCCGTGAAGTGATTTTTTTTAAAACAGTCTACCTACCAAAAAGTTCTACTAACTGTATTTTTGATACAGTAGTAAATGATATCTCTGCTATAGACTGAGAGGAGCTAAACCGTTCTCAGGTGAATTTAGGACCACCTTGACTGTGCAGTTCAGTGTCATCTTTGGAAACTGGTGCTGCAGATGTTGTTGGTTTCCTGCTTGGATTCTCCCACCTTCCCACACTGCTTTGTGCCCATCTCAATCCCGATAGCCAGTACCTGCAACTTTTTCATCAGTGGGCAGAGATAACCAGAAGTGGCAGTGAATCTGCAGCTACTAGAGCAACTTTCAACAAGGACAGGAGTGGATAAGTGCTTTACTTGGGACTCTTACTGAGTGGGAAAATCTAATGTGTTTTGTAATCTTCCATGGGATTGGAGTTCCCCAGTGCTGGTTTTCCACTTGGATTAGGTCAAGCCTTCCATAGGGTTGACTAGCTTGGTAACACGCCCCTTTTTGGATGCCTTCTTGTTCCTGTCTCCCTTTCCTTTTTCTGTATACATATTTCACATATATTAAATAAACTCCTTTTGCTCAAATCCTCATTTTAGGGCTTTAGACCCAGGAATTCAGTATAGTGTGCGTGTTGTTCAACCATAGTAACTAGAAATATGGGATTATCCAGTAGCTGTTATTCCTTGAGAACAGCTACTGTGTTGGCCAGTTTTATGTCACTGTGACAAAATAACCGAGAAAAATCAAGCTTAAGGAGGAAAAGCTTATTTTGGCTCATGGTTTCAGACGTTTCAATCCATGGTTACTTAGTTCCCTTAGTTCTAGGCCTGTGATGAGACAGAAACACAGTGGAGGAGTATGGCAGAGAAGCTACCTTGTGGTAACCAAGAAGCAGGTGAGGGGCAGGTATGTGCTTCCTCCAACTAGGCCCCACCTCCCACAGTTTTCTCCATCTCCCAATAGCACCATCACACTGTGAATCCTTCAGTGGACTGAACTGGTGATAAGATCAGAGCCTTTGTGATTCATTTACTTCCTCAAAGCCTTCACCTTGGAAAATTGTCACATTGGGCATCAAGCTTTCAATACCTGGGTATTAAACTTAACTTCATTCTTAGTTGCAACAATGTGACATTATACATAGTAATTGCAATGCTAAGAGCTATGCATTGTTTCCAAAGAATTAGTTGTTTTAAACTTATAATTTGCATGCATTCTTCTGCTAGCAGCCTCTCAATTTTCCCTTGGGGAATACCTTTTTCCTACCCTCAGAACTTATCTCTTAAATGTGACCAATAAAAGTGCAGTAGCTCTCTGACTGTCTGAATGGCTATATGTGGTGTGCAAACCAGCCCAAGTAGTGTCAACCCCAGGACTTATTCTGGAGTTTACAGAAAAGAGGTAGATCCCTTCCACGGGAAGTTAAGCTAGAAGAGGATAAGTCTGGAACCACATACGTAGGGGCTTAACGACAAATTGTCAACCTTAAGGAAGGTAGAGCTTCGTGATAGAGAGAGAATCTGTCCTGATGATGTTGACTGTACCCCAGGTCCAGCTATTTCTGAATTTCTCAGTCACGTGATTTTTTTCTCTGCAATGGATCTGATCTTGGTCATGCTATTGAATTGAGGAGATTTCTTGCGGGAGAGTTCAGGGTTCCTTTCTTAGAAAATGCTATCTTAGGCCCTCCCTGGATGCTATGTGTGGGCCACTGCCCCTGGGGAACAGCCAGACCCCAGCCTTTTCCCATGAGTCAGTGGCATCTGCAGACTGTGGGGGAAGAGAACAAGAACTCACCAAGAAGCAAGTCCTCCCTGCAAACCAGCACCATGCGTGAGCTGCTACTGCAGGGGACAGTCAAACCCCAGCCCCTTAGGACGTGGACTGGGTACAAAAAGAGCCAACCAAACACCCTACACCTTGTTCCCCGCCCCATAAGTGCCTGGCTGATCCTGAGAAACAGAGGCTGCCATGGCAGCTATTCAAGTGAAATGCAATTTGATGATTGTGGTGTTTACTGTTTAACTGACTTTGCAGGTCTAGGGCGGGTGGGCTTATCACTGTTTCAAAGGAATGGTATGCACAGTG